TCAGACACCAGGAAGGAACATTCCACCCATGTCACACAGGAAGGTTGGTGTGCATGAGAATCACAAAAAACCATCCAGTTTAGAAGAGAAAAGTTTAGCCAGCAGAGGTAGAGGGTTCGTTATTCCCTATTCAATTTAGGATAACCATTAGAGGGTGACACCATAGGCAGAGGATCAGGTCTCCTCTCTGGCATACTTGGGTTTGTAACCCAATACCTGCTGCTGGCTGGCAGTGCAGCTGTTGGGAGCATTTTATGTGGGCCCTTGTCACAGGTGACTCTGGGGCTAGCAGACAACATGCATTATCTCTACTGTAAACCCCCTCAAGGAATTTCTTTTAAAGGAAATGGACTCATTATGGAGTCTGCCTTGTTCTCTAAGATATAAAAAAAGCTTAGAGAATCGAGTGATGGGGGAAAATGGGGAGGGGAGGGAACATGCAGAGCCACAACTCCCTACCTTCATCTCAACATCAGTAATTAAACAGATATGGAAAGCTCCTATGAAAGAGGGCCATTGGCGAGGTTACATGGAACCTGCGTGCTCAGGTGGATTTCTACTTCTGAGGCATGATTTTGCTTGCTCTGATCATATCTTGCTCAATTATTTCATCTTTTATAGTGGTCTTTATAGCATCCAAGGTTCAGGGCTTCATGTTTCCATTCCAGGCACAGTGCAGCAAAACTAAATCTCAACATCCATCATGTCTAGCTGGAATGGTTCAGAGAGGGCTTCACATAGAGGGTTGCACCTAAGTTGAGCTTTGAAACAGGGGGGAGGAGACTTCAGAAAAACCTGGAAAGACTTGTATGGTCTAATGCTGAGTGAAGTGAGCAGAACCAAGACAACGTTGTACACAGTAACAGCCATGTTGTGCGATGACTAATATTGATAGACTTAACCCTTCTCAGCAATATAAGGATCTAAGACATCTCCAAAGGTCTCATGATAGAAAATGCTATCCACAAAGAATAAAGAACTATGGAGTTTGAACTCAGATCGAAGCATACTATTTGCTATTTTTTTTTTCTTCTGTTGAGTTTTGTTTCCTCTTTCTAGTGGTTCCTCCTATTGGTTCTAATTCTTCCTTACAACATCACTAATGTGAAAATATGTTTAATAGGAATATATATGTATAGCCTATATCAGATTGCAGATTGCACACCGTCTTGAAGAGGGAGGTGGGGAGGGAGAGGGAGAAAAATTTAAAACTCAAAAGCTTATGGAAGTGATTGCTGATAATTCAAAAAATATTAATTAAAAATTAAAAAAAGAAAGGCAAAAAAGAAGAAGAAAAAAAAAAGGAGAGGATATCAGCAGATGGGAAGATGGAGGGAGCCTGTTCCAAAGATTGGACACAGCCAACATAAGTTTGCAGACAGGAGTGAAGGGGAGGTTAGAGGGTTGGAGAATAAGACCAGGTGATTTGGTTCAAATGCAGAAAGAATGTAGGTGAGAATTGTGAAATTATTCTGAAAAGGGAAATTGATGCCAGATTATGTAGTGCCTTGAATGTCAGGGTAAGGTGTTTGTAATTCTATTCAAAGGTCAGGTCAGGTCATCATTAAAGGTTTTGGGGCAGGGGAATAACCTGATGAGACCTGTGTGTTAGAATACTTACAACAGCAAAGGCATGAAACTGATCAGAAACCTAAGTCAGTCAATAATCAATAAGCATTTACTACATGTCAACATTGTGCTAAGCACTGGAGATGAAAAGAAGAGGCAAAAGACAGGCCCTACCCTCAAGGATCTCAAAGTCTAATGGAAGAGATAACAAGCAAACACCTATGTACATATAAGACATAGGTCAATTAGAGGATGGCACTGATGTTTAAAAGGATCTGGAAAGCCTTCTTGTAAAAAATGGGATGTTGGCTGGGACAGGAGGGAAGCCAGGAGGTAGAGGTGAGGAGAAAGATTTGCTTGATTTGACTATACATAGTAGTTACATGGGTTTTCTTTTGTTCTTGTTCAATACAGGTGAGGGAGAAGGGATGAGAGAAGAAGAGAAAATAAAAATGCTAAGATTTTTTTAAAAAAAGGAAAATCACTTTGGTGAATATATGAAGGATGGACTGGAAAGGGAAGAGATTTAAGGCAGGGAGAAAAATTAGGAAACTATTCTAATAGTCCAAGGGAGGTGATAAGAGAAAGGGATGGATTCAAGAAGTATAGTATGGGAGGAATGGATAAGACTTGACAATTGGATTGGGGGTGGGGAATGAGGAATAAAGGATGAGTCCAACTTTGTGAACCTGAT